AATTGACGATTCGGATAACCGACTTTCGGATAAACGACGCTCTACTGTACATGGCTTGTATGAGTACTTTGTTATTAGTTTACTAATCAGTTGTGTAAGAGCCGTTTCCGCGCAATGTATAACAACATTTTCAGAAACGAACATTCATTTAATTTAATTTACATCAAAAATGTGCATATTTTTCATGTATTACTTTTTACAGAAACCATTCTCAATTTCGAATTTATTAGAATATTCAAGTTTTTTTGGAATGAATTTCCGTTTCGATATTTGTATCCCAAGTGATTGTCATGAAGACGATTTAAGAAATATTTTAAATTGGTGTAAGTAATTTCGTAATATGTCAAATTAGACATATATTCTATTAATATATTTAGTAATCATTTATATACATTTTAGTGATAGGCAGTGAATTATCAGCAAGAGTTGATTATTGCAAAGAAAGAAACCAGGAATTTGTTTATTCCACTGCTCAAATAATATTCTTGTAAGTTATACTTTAGCAATTCAGTTATTTTTCGTAAATTAATGATCTTTATAAATAATTTAATGTTGATATAGTGCGGCCTTACAATTAGGTGTGGATTTAACCAGTGTTGGAATAAAACGTTATAGTTTAATGACTAAACTTGCTTATTATATTTTTCATTTATTTTCCTGAAGAAATTGTGTGTTTCTACGTTTACATTGGTTACTATACACGTAACATTTTTTATTTATACCTAAATTTGTAAATGCGCTGTCACGTTTGCACTACAATCTGCTTAGATGAAATGCAACATGAGGTATCGTGCCTTGGACACTTCACAAAGTATTACATATTACCGTGATAACTTATGATAACTTGCGGGTTCAAGCCCCGCTCCGGGTTAGTTCTTTTATTCCAGATGGTTCTAAATTATTTAATAATTTATTAAAATTTATAATTATTAATTTAGTTAAGAGATGGTTCCTAACTTCTACCTCTAGTGACAAATTACTTTATATTAATCATTTAATTAGCCAAATTTTAACCCGCTCTTTCAGGCGATCGTTCGATGTTTTAGAATATATAATTGTGAGAACCGAGGGGGTATAGCTTCAAGCTGCTCCCCACTTACCGGCGACTCTGTCAGAGAATGGCTATATAGGAGGACAAAAATGTGAGTAGGAAAGGAAATGGGTAAGGCGACAGGTTACCGGTTGTACGCAAGGATGACACAGCATTAAACATAAACATATTTAATTATCTAATTATCAAAAACTATACAAACGCGTCTAAATCGAAATGCTACAAAAAGGGAATACTCCAAAATATTCTATATCGCGACAAGGAATATACGATCGTCATTTAGCCGCGAAGTTCTATCTGTATAAAACCTATTATTCTTTTAAATTCAACTAGCCTAAAATAATCTATAACCGAGCGAGACAGACAAGGAAAGAAGGAGAAATGATCAAATTTACAGCAGGCGATTACCTCTCTGGTTCCGATCTAGTCGAATGGGCATTAGTAAGAACTGTCCCGGATCGGCTGACTCCCCTCGTAGTCTCTCTTTTATATCTGGTCTAAATCTTGGTGGGAAGGCAAGGGTTGCGATGGACGGTATGGCAGTATCGGCCGATTGCAGAGACAGAGTTTACATTAAACGACGTTTATTAACAGAACGGTCTACAGACGTTGGCTAGCTGAACCGCGGTTTAAAATGCGTTGCAAACACGACGATCGTCTATTTCTGACCGTTCTCTAAACGAACTTCGGCAAAACATTGGCTCTTACTTACTTCGCTGTTACTCCCCTGTATTAGGAGTCGTTCGGCCAATCGGGTTATTTGTTTGTGACGTCAGAAATGGTCGCCAGCTATATTTCGAAAGCTTTCAGAAATAAAATCTTAAGGCCGTCAAAACCATTGTTCGGCAATTAATGACAATCTTTTTCCATTTCGGTATTTAATTTCGTCGCCAATACGATTTAAAATATGAACAAATCCATATTTAGAAAATTTATACCGAATTCGAAATTCGTCTTCGGAATAGATTTTTAAGGAATTATTTCGACATCTTATTACTGTCGAAATGAATAATTTTAAATATTTTATTATTAATATTACATTTTTATATCTATAAACAGATTTCTGTAATTATTAAAATTGTCTCGTTTGTTTAACAGTACAACGACCCCGAAATGCATTAACGTTTTATAACCGACACGATACTCAAATTGTAAATAAATGCATCTGATTTAATTGTAGTTTTAAGTCTTCACCCATTTGAATATCGAAATTGGAACATTTAAAACAAATTTAAAGTATTTCATTTTGTTGTTTTTGTTCCGAGCAGTTAATTAATTAATGAGTAATTTTGTCGATTCGTACCGTTTACAACATTTATCAAAGAAACGATGTCTGTTTTTATCTAAACTTTTCCACAAACAAAGCTACCACTCGAATTGAAAAGCCCTCTAAACCTGCTGTCGAGTGAGTCTAGAAAATAGGTCAAATAACTTGTTTCTAATC